CTATGACCACCACGATGGTCACGACAACCCATAAGTCGGGAACGACATCATACATGATCATTCATGTCGTTGTGTACGGATCTATCATCAAGCTGCTACGTTCCCAATACGCTCATGATATTCACAATAACTACTCCTTCCCTCAAAAAACATGATAATAACTCACTTGTCGAGATAAGTCGCTGAGGGATATCCAAACACAAACGAACCCAAGCAAATACACCGATCGATAATCAACCCGTGGGACTCCTCTTCCCAGCGCTCTCCCTCCTACATTTCCATGAGCCTGCCAAGTAGCGGATCGTCCGACTCCTTCTGAACCGCTTCAAAGACACTTACACCTCCGTCTACACTCTCTGGACTTTCCGCCATAGTTGACCTACATCTCCAACTATACTCATACCACACCATCGCCACTTCCTACTCTGAATCACTCCTCGCGCTCAATGCCGGCACTCGTTGAGCCAAACCCGGCGACAACGTCAGCTGACTCTCCTCCACTTGAAATGAGGTCAAATCACCCATCGTAGAGGCACACAGCACAACCCTGAGGACGACCAAAGTAAACACCCCGAGCCACCCTAGACTACTACCCCTCCTTATGGTAGGACACCATAGTGTGAACAGCTTGCAGGGGAAGGGTCACCTCTACCCGTTGCCATACTAGATCTGTGATCTGCTCTCCAGCACCGAATATAACATGACAAACATATGCCACGGAAGACGCCAAGGCAAATATAACCTGATTATAGATACTTGGAAAAGCATATGACAACGACCAAGGCGAAGGACTCCGACAGAGGTATGAGTGCAATGAGTAGTTCGCAAATGTGATTACTCGCGCGAGTGATACGATAACGCTAAATTGATCATCCCGGGTAACTACCACATCTTTCCTCCACACTGTGGTAGCACAGCCGTCCAAGGAGAGTTGTTGATCTAAGAGGTTTCGTTGTTTGATGGGAAGTCTCGTCCGCTTCAACTCCTTGGCAGAGGCAGCCTACAAGTAATAAATAATACATGCCGTTACATGAGATCGAACCCACAACCTCACGGACGACAGCCCAACATCATAACCACTACGCCAAATATTTCACTGAAACATTCCACAACCAACCCGTCCCCCTATAACCTCCGTAGTTGGCTGACACCACGTCGCTCCAAATCCACCGCTCACAGCAACCACCGCATCAGGAGACAATAACAACATCGACGTGCCGAGACCCAACGGAACCTGAAAACCACGTAGGCCCTCACCTCCCCTTCTTAAGAAAAGTATTCAATCTCCTATTCACTTCTCCACAAACTTAACAACTCATTCTAATTAACATACAAATCCCCTTGCACGTCAGACAGTCTCAACCACCCGGCCTGTCTTACTATAGAGAAGGTATTCAATGGCAACTTCTTTACTGCCCATACTGGTGACACACATGGTGACACGGCAGAACCTCCTCTGAAGCAACAGGCAACATAATCATGATCGCCTTGAACTGAAGACCATTTTCAGATCTAGTTGCTCCATCCATCCATTGTTCCGCTACGACCAATGGACCCGCACTATTTGTCACCAACAAATGCAGTTGCTTATCATTTCTTTTCTCTAGTCTAGACTTATTGATATTCAAGATACTTCGAGTTTGATCCATCGGCAACCCTATGCGTTCCCTATATGACCGGCAGCAGAACCACTTGCATATTTCCCCACCCTGGTTAGCAATAACACCAGCCCCCCTCATACTACCCCAGTCCAACCTGGCCATATCCCCCCAATGCGGCCGCCGACCCAGCACTCTAACACACCAACCACAGTCCAACACACCTCAGCAATCACCACGCCTTACTGACGATGTGATCCGACTCGTATCAACCGCCAACAAGCTCAACATAGAGGCGTTATGGCTGCTGTGCTCCATCCGGCTAACTGAAGGGTGAGGGTTCAAAAACGACGACCCTATCACAGCCAAGACCTGCGAGGAAAACGTGAGACTTCCTAAATCGATCACTTACTACCGGTAGACTGTCCTGTGTGGAAGTAGACGGATCGTCCAGAAACTGCATATCATCGATCGAATACAAACCCAATAGACGACGAATTTGGATAGTCTGAAAAAGTACAACATCCCAAATCATTAGGAAATCAAGAAATTATTCCTTCTAGATTAACTTCATAATTTTCAGAATTATGACAGTGTCATCTGTGTAGACTTACACTACTATTAACCACGCGTTTGATAATACCACTCCCAAGTGGTCAACGATCACAACACACATTCGACCTCAACGAGACCATGATGTATAAAGGGTAAGCTTTCCTCGTATCTTTGCTCGTCGTCGTCACTCGCCCGACCATTTTGACCCATACTGTTTTGTAGCAGCATAGCAATTAGAATTCTTTCGTATGGTTGTGTTGAACGATCACCTCGACGATTCTCCCAACACGGTTAACGAGCTCATTGAGCATAGTGCCTCCAGTTCAAACGATAGACGCATACGAGTTGCCCTACTACCTGTGATGAGCATCCAGTGGCACTCTGCTGCGTATCGTCTCCCTCAACATCCATCGACGATCCCCCCAACGTACCTGTCGAGTAGTTAATCCCAACAGCCCTTCTACACCGAACCTTACACAGAGTGAGATGGCCCAACCTATCGCTTAGTGTTACTGCACATAGAGGCTTCGTAGCACTCATTCTAACTGTGCAGTGCTGAGGCTCGTTTAAGCAGTGACCAGTCTCAGCTACCACCGACACTGTACGAGTACCTACGCTCAGCTGCATGTAACGACTTGGAGCAAATTGGGGTCCTCACTGGAGCCATCATTAGCAGTGGCCTCCTCCACCCCTGTGATGTGAGAGGTACCGCCGTATAGCGGCGAGTAGCTGCACGTAGACCGCATTGCGTTGGCGTAGGGGTCGAAACACAGTAGCGACAACTGAGGCAATCAACCAGGGGAAATCCAAGGATTCATTTCATGCCCACATCCCTCCTCACCTGGCCATCTCTGAATATCAACAGTACTTGATCCTGCTTCACAGCAATATCGTTCTGCTCATCAAGCCCTGCTTGGGGACAGTGATAGACAACAGCATTGTGGCACCGACCGGGGAGGAGGGTCTCACAAACGAACCTTAAGAGCACCATCGCTGCGACCAGAGACAGAATAATATCAATATGGAAACAATTGACAAAAAAAGTGCAAAGTTGGAATGTATGTCTGTTTTCCTCAACTGAGCTTAGGAGTTTCCTCACTAATGGTAGACATTCCCACGTAAAGTGTACGAAACCAACGAGAATTTCCCAAAATTTTCCCACCAACGTATGTGGATGACCATGTGCAAATTCCCCCCCCACACACACACTGTGAATAATAGCACCCATATGAACTCCTGGACAGCGACAATGTTGAAGGAATACATGCTCCCTTTCCTCAGCTGAGCTCAGGAGTTTTTCCACTCATTATAGGGAGAGTTTACATACGAACATGAGTAGAAATGTATACAGAAATCAATGAGAATTTCCCAAAATTTCCTCAGAATTTTCACATTGTTACCAACACATGTAGTTGACCATGTGCAAATTCTTCCCCATATGCACGCTGTACTCTATCGATAATAACGACCTCAGACGAATACAAAAACCTTCGCTGTGCGCAAAGATACTACCTGAGTTCTCTATCAGAGGTAAGTCGATAGAGCCTAAGGAGGCATCCACCACATATAAGCATCAGGTCTTGCTCGTCGTCCCTGTCAGCAGCATCGTCGTGATCGGTAGCGATGAAGTGGCCTCTTAGTGCAAAGTCAACGGTGGTTCGAGAGGAGCATTCAGTGTAGACTTGATGAGACATTAAACCACGACTACTACTACGATGGTAATGATGAGATTGATACCGCACAGACTAACTCAATCGGGGAAGAATCGCTTGAAACGGTGAAGACTTTTATGAGAAAGAAAAGAAGCAGGTGAATACACGACGAAGCCAAGAATAGATCCCACGACCTGCACTAAACAAACTCGTAACAGCACCACTACACCAAACAAGCTACGATAAAATATATTTTGAGGATGGTCCTCACATGAGTAGTCTGCTCTCTTCTTCTATCGCGAAAAGTTGTGTGCTCATCGACATTCAGTGCGCCACCCCGGTTCGATCCCGGCACCGGACATTTCTCGGGAAATTTTAAATTAATATCTCTGCGACATCATCGCAAATGAATCGCACCTCGAAGCCTCTTTGCATTGTAATGAATCTCTACTTACTCCTTTTAGTCGTCATTCTAGTGTCACAGACCTCTGCCAAGTCCTCGGCTCCATTGGAATCATCTAACAATCACATCAAGGCTCATAATGCTGACCAGGATGCCGCTGACGAGAGCGTGGAAGGTCTCAACTTGGACAAGGAAGATGACCCTGACAAAGCACAGGAGGGTTCTTCTGGGGAGTTCATGCTGGGTGACGCCACCAGCGATCATATTCATTATTACCTGTGATGAAGTCGCATGAAAACTGTTGTTGTATTCACGTGATACGAGCTTGCGTTTCAGTGATCGTGCCCATTGCCCCTATCGAAGAGCTCTGTGCTGATCGTGGCTTAAACCTCATTTTCATGTAGTTCAATACCACACCTCCGACAATTGATCTCTCTGTCGTCTGTGGGGCACCGTGTTTAATTTCTCTCTGGGTTCACTTCCACTGCGCAGTTGCTTGCCTTCATGTCGACCACAGTCCCGCATCATCACTGGCAGCATCCACTGGAGACAGGGCCTCTCACAGTGTGTGGTAGTATGTGGGGTAACACCTCTAGCTTTTCTTGACCGGGCACGCACGCGGAGCGGTGTTTTATTTCTGCTACTTCAACGATAGTTTTCTCACCATAGTTCTCTATAATGTACATAAAATATTTTCTCAAAGCAGAAACGTACCCTAAATTTTCCCCCGTATTATTCTACCATTCGCACTGCAATTTAACTGAAATTACACGTCCATTCTGTCTAGGATTCATCCCTAATGTGAAGGTGATTATTCAACCTATGCATGAGAAAAGGAAAATAGCTTCTCGCGTTGGAGAAATAAAGTTTTTACTACAAAAAATGGCCCCCGCAGTGGTAGAGTTGTGCCTATAGGTACGCGGCCGGCGTTGCTGGAGCCACTCGTGGTTGCCATCACCAATGCTGTCAACGAGACTCTCGTCACGGAGCAGGACTTGGCGGATTTAGAGGTTCCTATTGGAGATCTCAACTGCAGTATAGCAACGCCTTGTGTACTTAGATTGAAGCTCGACTCGGTTTCCTGGCACCTCATCGGGACTCCTACCATAGAGTGCTATTGCCCATCACGTCGGAATGTATATTGCAAGAGCCTGATCACGGCAAGAACTGGCGGTAGGAACATCCGCTGTTCGAGGGGCTGACGGCTGAGGTCATCAGGTATGAGTTCCAGGCGTCTGTGATGAGAGAACAGTTCTTTGCGATACAGAAGCATCTGGAGAAGCTCGTAGCGGGGACTCCTGGACAGGTCCAGGGACATGTACTAATGGGGAGGAAGGGCTGGGAATTGTACTTGTTGGAGAGTAATGGGATTCTCGCACGGGCTGCACGGTGCTTTGTATTAATCTGAGGTGGTAATTCAGTGGAATAGGGAGTAGCGTTGGTTTAGCATGCGTGAGGCTTCGGTTCAATCCCTGCACACTTCATTTAATCAGGTTTTTCGAGTTAGAGATGTACGGCGGCAGGTCACTACAACTGATGAGTTCTTCGAATCTCCCAGGGACGGTCGAGTAGGCTCCTCCTCCTCCTCCTCGTCGTCCTCTGTTTTTTACAACACTCCGACTAGATACGGGCAAGCTACGACAGTGACAGCTACAGTCTGGGGGATCGAACGCGACCTATTGAAATCATCAGGAAGGATCGGCTCAAGACTATTAACGTGTACTAGGGAGGCGTAGCTGGTCGTAGGTCTCCTTGCAGTTGATCTTGTTTTTGATAATAACAGACAATCATATCTGCAGTGTGTAGGTTCAGCGGGCATTACGATCCGACGTATTGTGATGAGGAGAAGTACCCTTTGGATTTGCGTATATCAGTTAACAGAGAAAACAAATGTAAGTTCAACGCGAAATGAACGTAAGCCGATATACAGTCTGGCCCATGCTTCTCGATTTTGCGTGTCCTGGTATTATTCGAGATGGCGTGTTTACCTCTTGTTTACCTTTTGTTCTTCTGTTCAGTCGGCTCTGTCCCTTCTGATGTGTCAAAGTGTATCGGTAAACGTAACAAGACTCGGCATTCCTACATCTTCAAGGCATGGCAGGTGGATCTTACTGAGGTCATAGCACAGGGAAAACAGGGCGAATGGTGAGCAGTGATGAGGGAACCTATAGTGTTTCTGGGAGGAACTCATTTTGAATTTTCCACGTATTACTAGGAGCACATTCTTCAATCAGTTTCCCATGTTAATGTCGTCATCACATTAGAAATTTTTTTTTCATTGTTATCAAATCTTGGGGAATGTCATTTCTCAAATCTGGCTCATACCATAATTTTTGTACATCGTGGACTGGCAGGTCTAGCTATGAGGTGGAGGTAGAGCTGAAGAAGGACCTCATCGCGGAGCAGTTGAAGCGACAAAGGCTGGGAAAAAACCATGCGGTGTACGAGATACTCACTGGTAGTCAAGAGAATAGCATTTGGAATTTCGTGGCGCGCGGTAATTTCTCAGACTTTATATACTGCGTACGTGATCTGGCATGGATGTTCGGTGATGCGTACACTGCGAGTGGCGGTGCTGGTGGTCAGCAACAGTGGAATAAAAACGGGCAGCGGAAAAGGTGAATTATTGTGTTTTGATCTCATACCATCTCTTCGTCAACTTGCAGAGTACGTGGTGACCTCAATTCCAACGATATCGATTTCACTATGTGGTTGGAGCCCGAAGAGGTACCGTCTTATCACTTCAGCGTTTCCATCACTGTCGTCAGGTCCAGCAGAGGTACCTCAAGCGAGTGGCGCCGGTGTTTCCCATTATTGGTGATTATTGCTTTACTATCGCGGAGGAGATCCGTTCCCCGAAGGCAACGGCACCGGTCGTGCAAGAGGGGAATGAGGAAGAGTCTCAACCCTCTCGTAAGCTTAGTTGCGAGTTGTGTTGGATTGATGTTTTTTCCATCAGAAGGCGGAGCGGAGCAGCTGGAGATGGAGCCAGATGAGACTGCAGTTACGAAGGAGGAAGTCTTGGGTGAGTCGGTCTAGCGTCTTTAGCCCCCCCCCCTCACTGTGGTATTGTAGGCGTGAATGTGGTGGGCTTCATGACGATCCAGTGTAGGGTCTGTTGGCCCGTGTATAGGACTCGTATTGATGCTTGTTTGTTTAGGACAAGCAGCCGTGGAGACCCTGCAAGAGGTGGAGATGGTAGATGCAGATGAGCAACCATTGGGTATGCCGGATGATGCTGAGCTCGAGGGGGCTATAACGATGGATGGTATAGAAGGGGAACAAGCTGAAGGTGGAGAAGCTCGAGATTCGAGTGGTAAGTTACTGTTGTTGTTGTTGTTGTTGCTGATCCCGTTGTTGTTGTTGGTATTGTTTTTTGTTTTTTGTTTTTGTGTTTTTTGTTTTTGTTTTTTGTTTCTGTTTTTGTTGGTATTGTTGTTGTTGTTGTTGACTTGATCCATTCTCGACGACGTGTATTCAGTGCTACCTCCTGTTGCAACGGCGGTCGAGCAGCAACCAGTAAGGTCACCAGTGGCACCAGCAGTTGAAAAGGGCGACAGCAGTCCACTACTCACTGGCTTAGTCACAACGCAGCCCAAAGAGCCCACTGATGCACCAACTGTCGCAACTAGTACGGAGTTGAAACCGAATGGCATGCAGGAAAATGATGGTGAAAAATGCCCTCGCCTGGGATCGAACCCGCGACCTGTTGCTCGTATCTCAGAAGAAGGATCCTCAAGCTCGAGTTCGAGCGGATCGGACTCTGAGGGTTCTGAATCGGATAGTGACTCCTCATCCAGTGGCTCTGATTCTGGCAGTAGCAGCGGCAGTAGTAGCGAGAGTGAAGACGACGATGATGCTGATGATGGTGGTGGTGCGAATGAAGACGAGCCTGGCATATGACGATAAGACCTGCATATTGATTATTACTCCCATCACTGACCTTTTTTGTACCATAACCGTATCTTGGCTCTCTCTAGTTTTGAGTAGTGGTTATGCAAAGGGGTATCGATCGACTCGGCTACGAATAGCAATGCGCTATAGCGATGATAATTGTTATGAAACGTTTGAGAATCACGTGGAATCTGCTGAAGCTGGTGTGATAAGCTCGAGTGATACAGTAACCTCTAGTGCACATCATACGGCATGGGGAGAAGGGTGTAACGGATGGTCACCTTCACCTCTCACTGGTGTGATGCCATCTGGAGCAGCGTTGACGATCTCATTGCATAATAGCACCTTGTTCTTGTTTTGGGAAGTAAAGCTAGAGCTGCAGCTCTATGTGCGGTTCCCTTCCTTGTATAGAGTCTACTGAAATATGGTCGTGAACATGGGCGCATCTACTCTCTATAGTGGGAGAAACTCGACTGAATCACCTATCTGTCTCCGAGCGGTGGCTTCTTAATCGGCAAGTAGTGTTCGTCCGTAGAAGGCTTCAGTGATTGACTTCCTTCCTAATTACCTGTGGCCCACGCCGCTGATACCCACAGGTTGTGGGTACCAGCGGCGTACGATAGCTTTCGAGTGCGTACAGTGGTAACTAGGCATTTAAGTGTAGTGAATAACCAACATCCAGCAAGAGCTTCATTACATGCGACTGAGGCTATTTTTTAGGGATAATAGCACCGTTCCGCTGTGGAAGTATTTCGTGGTCCGGGAGTCCTCAATTTCGGCTAACGCACATGGAAGACTTTTGATGATTCCTCGAAAATGTTGTTGTATTGAATGAGTTCACACCGGCATCATCGAACAACACTGCATGGTGTGTAAGGCCCATTGCATAAGCTCGCATTATGTCTCGAGGTCTTTTCAGGAACTCCTCTACGGTGACGTGAAGTTTTCGTCGCCAAACGACTACGACCGGGCGGTGCAGCTGCCAGAAGAATGCTCCGTGTGATTTACTTATCTCGTCACACCACAACTTTGTGTTATCTGTCACCTATTCGTGAGAAAGATGGTACTTCGCTGTAGCATTGGATGACTTGGAATCATCAACGATCAACTCTCTGCTGCCTCTGTCGACTGCGGAGCTTCATCTTGTTAAGTGTGGGGGGTCTCTCGTGCACCATCCTGATCCTCATTTTTCGGCACTACTCTGAGTGGCATCTCCCACAGTCGAAGATTCGGAACAGAGCGGAGGTATCACCCATGGAAGAGATCACCGAAGATAAGCTCTGGAAACCCTTCATTGAGTCGTTGCGTGAAAAGCCTGATAACATGGACAAGCGCAGTTTTGCCAGTGCTCAGTCGGCAGAAGTCAAGATACAAATTGAGAAGTTGGCAAAGGTGCGGTATGGCAAGCATGCAAGCGTGTATAAAACTATTCAACAGCAACGTTCACCAGAATCCAATCAACTGGTCATCTGCATGGGCGTTCGGGATAACGCGCCTCTCCATGCGCATTGGCGAGGTTGGCTCAGTCGAATGGTCTCTGGTGGTGTCTTCATATTCGGTCCAAGGAACCAGTTCCGCACGCCCCTGAGTACTTGCCGTCTGAAGTCGTCTTCGCGTCGTCTTCTATTTTCTTCGACAGTACCCCTCCGAGAGGCGCCAGTTTGTGGAACATTGCTACCATTATCCACTTTCTAGACTGCGTTGCTCATTTCCAAACGCTTCCTTCTGGATCGTTGCTGATGACGACATATGGGTGAACGTTGACAATATGAAGGCTTATGTGGAACAACTCAACTCGAATGAAATCAGCATATTCGGTACGACTGCTGGAGATGCCTTAAATGTTTGGGGAGGAGCCGTGGGATACTCTCGAGCCTTCGTACAATGGCTAGTGTCTTCACCCAAGCACTTCAAGAGCTGCAGTGATGCGACGTACGAGTACAACAAGCGAAAGGCTGCTAGACCCTTGAAGAACTACTATTTACGTTTTGGAGTGCCAGTGGCGCCCTATCATCAGGACTGCTACCTGTCATTCTGCTCTATAAAAGTGTCTAAGGCGATGGTGCACAGGAGTGACCTTTTCTATTACGACAACCCTGTTAACGCAACAGCATTAACTCAGGAGTATTCCCCAGCTCTGTTAGAGCCGTACTTAGATCGAGCTATATCCGTACACCATTTGAACGATGAAGACATTGAATATTTGTCGTACCATGCTCCTCAAAGATAGCGTATCCAAGGCTTCAGCGTATAGATGATGAGTTCGAAAGAATCGCTCTTTTATTGCCAGTAATTCCTTGGCTTGGTCGGCTGATAACGATCGAGGTTAACGTCGCGAAAGTGCATCAACCCGTCCATGGAAGGCCTGCAGCTTCATCACGGTCCAGTAAGCGTCCTCGGATTAGAAACACGTTTGGTGTGCTTTCCGGTGGTAAATCAATACGACCGGCGTATTCGGGAAGAGCAGCCTGTGAATTCTGAGGCATGTGTGGTTGGTAGGTTTGGAGGTTAATGTCCGTACATATGGCATTTTACTGAGCGGCAACAGGTGAGGTCAAATGAACCATCGTTAAATTTTCGGCTGTGGATGGGCATTCGAATTAAATGCCAGAAGTCTAGAGCCTAGGGGAAGATATTTTGCTCATTCCTTCCACGTACTCCCGCATAATCGCGAATCCTCAAGACACAGGCTTGCACAGCCTCCACACTTCCTCCAATAGACGACCCTATGGCTAATGAGCCAAACCCATGGTGAGATGGTGAGAGAATCAGCTCCACGACTAAGCATGGGACTGGTACACAGCAAGCCCCGTACGTAAAATTCATCGAGAGTACTTCGAGAGAGCTGCCCTGGTGCAGGCTTCTCTCCGAGAAGGCGTGCTGGAGAGAGCGAAAACTTCAGCGTGTGACATCTCTCTCGAGTTTCTTCTAGCTCGACATGAGTGTCTGTACAGTCGAAGCGATACGCGAGGCAGATGCATTCGTGACTATCTGTATGAAGGGGCACATCGAAGTGCTCCTCGCAGAACCGGCGGAGGGACTCGATGGACGAGTCCTGAGGCTTCGGCTTCGCGGGATTGTTCTCTTGATGGATGTAAGGTTGGTTATAAATCGATTCCTGGAGTTGGTTCAAGGTGAGTGCTCGTGGGATCTACTTCTCTCGCAATACTTTGATGACACTTTTCGGCTTCGCCCCACCCAAAGTGAGTCATTAGCGAGGTGCCTGGTTCTGGGATGTCCATGACTGGTGGACCATGAGGCTTGCCGGACAAGCCACTGATGAGTGGAAGCCCGTCGTTAGAGCTCTACCGCGCCTGACCCAGGTTGTTCCGAGATCTGTAGCGAGCCACGGCTCATGGCGGCACGAAAGAGCTTAAGCGCTTTCGGTAACTCCTCGTTGATTTAGTAATGAGCTTTGCCACTAGAAGCATACCTTACCATGACTTTGCCAAGGTAAAGCAATGGATAAGACCAAGCTTCAGTCAAGTCGTGCTTGGAATTGTTCAACTTGGCAATGCCAACCTGGAGGTATGCCAATTTGAAATACCTCCAGTAGCTGAAATAGGGTGAGTCGGATGAGAATCTATAAGACAGCATGCATGTGACATGTAGCATGTCGGATTGCGAGAATGCACTATTAGGAGTGATTCTACTGGAAAGGCCCCAGCCTGCGACTCCCAGGCCGGCTCTCGGATACCTTCCGATTTTGAAATTGGTGGATTTCCCAGAAGTGGCGCCCGCTCAGAAAATGCCGATGATTCATCAGTTCCATTCAAATTCTCCTTCAAATTATGTACGTTGGAATGATTTCACCACCGGTGTTCTCGACGGAGCGAGGGGAAGAATTAAGTCGACTATTTATGCTCTCGCGAGTCAGCTCCGGTGGACAGAGAAGACATATTCGAGATAGGTGGAGGAGAGTATAAAGAGGATCGAACAGGACCTTGATTGATCGTCGTTAACGAGACATGGTGACGACTCGGTCGGAGAATGTCGCGCGCTACGTAATTGCCGAGGCCGAGCTTGAGCGCAGCAGCTTGTTTCTTCGACGATGGGGAGTTCAGGAACGGAAAGAACGGGAAGGATTGATTTGTATCGGGGAGGGTTCCCCAGGGAAGCGCAGTAGGTTATTCGTCAGGAGAGTTCTAAGGGCATAGCGCGAGCCACGCTCCGCTGTGAAGGGCTCATTGAAAATTGACTGTGTGAGCCGTACAGTTGTACGGTATGGCCATGCCAGAATATCCATTACTCGTGCTCGGAGGAAGCAACGGAGTCGAGATGAATCAATCGGGAATCCATGACTTGTGCTTTTGAAGAACCCACCTCAAATGCCGAACGCGCGGCCAGTGGTTTAATCAACTCTAAGAGAAATAATTGGGATTGAGTGATGCTCGATCGCATCTAGTTCCAACCCTACGCGGGAGCCTAGATCCTCGAGTCGAGATCAATCGGTTCGGTCGAACGAACTCATCGGTGCCGGTTGAGCACCGAGTCGAGGATCAGCAATGTTGATTCAACATCAGAGGAGTCACGTCCGGGAGAGATGCACACTGAATGGCACACAAGTGATTTGAATCAAATCACATTTGAATAATTTGATAATGTTCGACAAACACCCCTCGTCCCCTTGCAGAGATCTTCACCAGTCCCCAACATCCACCAAAAACATGACTTGATGGAGAAACATGAATGGAGTTCCTTCGAGGGACGGGGGCTGATCAATAATATATTTGAGAAATAGGTAAGGGATTAATAATTCCGTAATCGAAGGAATTCTCACAGACACTACTACCTGGTGCCACCAGGGTCCAGTGGGTAGACGATAGTCACCATAGCATTACGTAATGGCTGTGAAAAGCCCGGCCCAAACCGGAGTAGCAGTTCCATCAGCTTGGCAAGAATTTGAGAATCGACGTGGCCTACCCATGTTCACCGTCTAAATATCAACATTACTCCACACATGGTTGCATCAAAGTGTGTCATCGCCAGTGCAGAGCTCTACACACTATTGGTCCCGAGTGCATCGTCGCTAGTGTGGAACATATTCATCTTGATGGTGTACGAGTAGTACCCTTGAGTAAGGACGCTAATGCAAGGGACGTACGCGAACGATGATCGCACGGCTTCCTAGCTGCTAGGACCTAGCACCGATCTCTCTTCCGCGAAGATGCGGGAGCTAGTTTTGTCGTTTCATATTTCCATCGCAACCCGATCCAGCGGATCAGACTTAGAGTTTCTGGATGATTTACAACTCAACTTGATGATATATAACGAAAACTCGTTAACAACCTACCGACCTTCACCATGAACTGACTAATACGAATCAGAGACTGACTACATTGAGGACTCAAGAATAACTGTATAAGACAGTTTTATCAAGATTGGGGATGTGACGTATGATAAAGTATCAAGAGCCTTCATGCTCATTTTTTAGCAATATAGGATATAGCCATAGGATTCCCGAACGCCATCTAGCCACGTTTGAGCACATGAAACATTAAACAAAATATTGGACTGAGCGTCACACCCTCTGTAAACTGCTGATAATGATGATATGCACATGAAAGAAGCTTCATTGAAGGCAACTCATCCAAGTCCTCCTACTGGTGCTTCATGAACGATGAACCAACACTCTATCCGGGTTGGAATGGTTGTTCGGGGAGAAGTGAACTTCGTCCTTGCCGATATGGTATATATACAGAGCGTCGATATCCCATAGTGACGAACGAAGGTTTTTGTCTTTACTTCCAGGATAAATGGTAATAGTATCCGATGAAGTTGGAGATAGGACATACGACACCAAACCGGTGGAAGACCAAATTTCCTGGTACTTGGTGGAATCATAAATCATAACCATAGTCGAGTTAGCAGACTTTGAGATCCAAAAGTTGGTCTGGAAGTGATCAGGTTCTGGATTATCTGCATATGGTCCGTCGGGCCGCTTTTTGTCGCTCAGATCAGCATTGTGTGGAGAAATTGAACGACGGTTCTGCCTCTCTGCCGTAGGAGGAGGAGGAGAAGGAGGAGGTCCACAATTTCCATTGCCTCCCGATGGTATTGTGCAACCCGTAGCCGAGAGATTGTAGGTTTTATTCCCATCTTTCGTGAACATCCTGAGACCATCTTTCGTAACGTTCAGAGCGAAGCCAACTTTGAAGTAGGGGAACAATTCAGGTCCTTCAGTGTGGTTACTACGCTTCAAGATAACCTCATCACCTCTCATACTCACATTGTTGTACTTCATACTGAGGATGTTGCTATCAATAAAATTGTACGTCATGCGGGCCTTGGACTCTGATCATAGTCGAAATGATGCATGAATAGCTATCGCCAAATACGTCGTGCGTAATGAAGACCGTCGCACAATAGTTTCCTGGCTTGATGGGAACGCTTCCGCATCTTGCAAGAGCAATGCTTGATGCGATGACCAGTAGAACGGATGATACCATCTTATAAATTCACAGCAACTGCAAAGACAGAGTACGAATACAAACGGCCGCTTCTACGCATACTATGATCCCTTCAGCAGAAAAAACAAGTTCGAGGATATTTGCATAGAACACGAACAAAGTCATCTTGCAATTAGTCAGAGACCCACTGCTGCAGATAGATCCCCTCCACAGCACGAGGATCCCCAGCAGGCACGCACAAGTTGTGCGGCACAACTATTATTAGGCAGAACCTTCACCACAGTGAGCAGCAGCAGCAAAGGAGGAGGAGGAATCATACAGTTGCCAAACGCAACTCGGAGCGGCGATCGTTTCTTACTTCTCAGGCAGCCATCTCAGAATGCCTTGTCCAGGACCCGATACAAGATTAGCGATAGCTGGTGAAACGAGACAGCAGCACAAAAACGCCACTGTGTGTCATGGTAGGGGGATCACTCTATCAGCCGCCCTGCTAGGATGCGATGCATCATCCGGATAATCCAACGCTTCTTCAACTAGTAGGTAGTAGTTGTAATTTACAACAACTACTACTTACTAGTTGTCAATGCGTGTGTCGGTGTTCAACATGACATAAGATGTGTAGAGGATCTATCCCATGTTGAGTGCCTAAGTTGACTCCCAACTAAAGCTTATCCAAGGCGCAGAAAAGCCTTTGTGTATGCGTGCAACTGTGTAAGGGCATAGATAATGAAGGGTGGCTCGTCCCTGTCTGTCCACAGGATTTTTCTCGTATGAAATGTATTCTCCCCTTAGTGGTATCATTGGCCCTACATAAGACCACTAAGGTTCGACCTTGCTCGACTAATGCCTGATTACAGCATATAACACCCAGGACTCTGCGTGCGAAAGTAGCACGCAGACGCACATCCCGCCCCCAGAGTCTGGGGCCAAGTAGACCTGCTGCCAGAAAAATGAGAGAATCGGTCTCAGTCGGGAAATTTCAGTTGCTCATTAGTGATCAATTCACATACGGTATGCCCCATCAGATACACTATTTTAAACCTCTTTAGAGAAACTCGTTAGCTAGCACGTGGCAGAAAGTTCTCCAATGACGAATGCCCAGACGCAATTGAAAGTTGTTAATCTATTACATGGAGACTAGTTGGGATCAGAACTTATATTGTGAGAGCAGCGAGTACAGTACTCGAAGTACGACAACTTAATAAGTTGTAATAGAGTTACCAGAGATAGGGGCAACCCCTTTAGGTTTACTGAAGAGGATTACCCGTTGGTTAGTGGCCTTAGAATCGAAGATACACCCCTCCACACATTCTTAGCATATCCGGTTTTTCGGCTCGTGCACAGCCACTACAACGAGTATCATCTTGCGGCTCAGGGAGGTATGTACTTATGCTTTACCTGATATGACCTCCAAGTTTCAGGGCCTAACTCTTTGTAGTTAGTGAGACCGGTAAAAGTTTCCTCCACATATTCTTAGCATATACGTTTTGAAATTGCGCCTCAAAATACCAACTTCTACCAACAGGGGAGTATATCTATAGCTCCGCTTCTGATCTAATGCTACACATCATCAGTGGGAAATTCCGACTCGGGAACGCAACCCTGCGACGATCCTTCGTCTTTAGTTTCCTCACCCAAGGACACTGCGTCGGGTAGGACCGAGCGTTGCTAAGGATGATCCCATCGTAGCTGGTTACAGCGCCCTAGTGACGTTCTTCCACGTAAAGTGATGGATGATAATCATCGACTTATAATTTATTCATCTCTATGATGACAAACTCATAACTCCGACTATATTGACTGAACCCTGTTGTGATTTCCCTCTAGACTTGACAATAGGAAGAGATACTCATCCAATGCTCAAATATGCATCGCAATATCGTAATACGCTTAAAAACATCATCTAGCGAGGAGAGACAAATGCACAACCTAACTCAGAAAATTACACAAAAATAGCACAAATTACAAACGGTACTCTTGTCGGAGGGAGTTCACTACACTCCAGTAGGACACGAGAGCTGCCCGACTCCATACCCGGTCCGGATAACCCGAAGTGCTACGAGGAACTTATGATCGATCAATATACGAATATACATTGGTGCGCTCTAACATCCCTATCTATCTCTCCCGAGCGTTCTCGTACATTCACAGATGAAGTCGCTATCGTCTAGTGGATAGAATGTCCCCTGGGGGCCGTGACACACCCTGTTCAAGTCCGGGTGAATACCGATTTCTCGATGATCGGCACAAGCATCCACTCTACCTCGTGATAGGGTTCATACTTGGATGATGCTTATTTGCCGGCATCGGATGGACGGTTCGGCTGCCCGCGGAGGTGACCAGTTGTCATTGACACTGTCTGCCATTGTCCTCACTTGGCTGGTGAGCGGCGTTCATTGAGCGCACTTCGCACTTTGAACACAAGGAATGTAGTTGAATAGCATCTTACGGGATGACTCCAATCATTTGAGCACCTCTGTGGGCTCGTCATGTCAAGGAATAGTCGTGCCTGTTGAAGTAGAGATGATCCCACCACTTACATTCCCTTGGACGAAACTAGGTTAAATTGCCCTCATTTTATCCGAGACAAGCTAGTTTATCCGAAAGTGAAACCCTTTCTCTGGAAGTTACCGGAGAACGCTACTTTCTTGTCATGCAAACACATGCCTGATCGCAGCTTCTCACCCAAAACTCGTTGACTTAACTCATCCCGCCCTGCCGACTTCAACAGCCATCCTCACACAGTTGAGGATTGCACGTCAAGATGCTGAAAATCAGAAACTACCGGGTAGCAGAAGGTTGGCAAGATGAGCCATCACGCTCACCAGCAGCTGATAGGTGATAAACTAAAGTATCAATAAGCCCCGCATTAACAGCTAGGACCAGCAGCAACAGCATCACACGAAATACACAGGCTCAAGAGTAACTGGCTTCGCGGGCGAGTGCGTCATGGTCGAGTGATTGCACCACTCTACACTCCACAAGCTTCGTGTAGGGTAACGATCAAAATCCGCCCATTTGCTATCTCCGGACGTTTCAGGCTGAAACTTGCAGTCGATGCCTGCGCACGCTGAAGGATACCGATACGTGCAGATTAATTTCGTGGCGCGTGACAGAATTATCGGTTGGGCTAAGGTTCGATCTCTGCCAGAATATTCCTAGTCTATGTGCTCGAGAGTAACTCTCGAACCGCTTCAGCAGCTTACTGTAGCAGCTGTTGTCCTTGAGGGGTATCCTAATGTCGAACGTACAAGATACAGAAGAGGTCAAGTACGAGCCTTTCGACCCTGCCGAGTTGGTCTTATCGACTGATGCGGAGGAAGGGACGGCTAATAGCAACATCCCTCGAGCTAAATTCATTGTAATAACTTCGACCCCTCCCCCCTCAGTAGGACCTGCAAGCATCGAGCGTTTTACAGGGCTCTCTGATCGACTGATTTAACCTGTTGATAAACGTTCCACGCCTTTGTATAGTTTACCGCGACAGTTGGTTTAATTTTACTCTCTCCTTGGTGGAATCATCAAGCCTGCATAAATTGCCATTCTCCAGTATTGACCTCTTGCTAGTGAGCAGCTCATTCTCAGACTCTGTGGACCTTTTTGAATAAGATCTTTTTCCTTAAAAGCTACTCGTGAGAAATTTTCGTATTTTTTTGCAATTTCTGGGAGAAAGTTGTTTGATTTTATTTTTTGGTATCATCGTTCATATCGTCGTGACCAGTGTTTTTAGTTTTGGTTATGATGTTCGAACGATTTCTCCTTTGACAGTATACTTTTTGAATTTTACTAGTATGTATTTAAGGCGGGCGTAATTGAAGCGAAGATACTCTTTTCCGATACGTTTAGGAGAATGTGGAGATTTTCGTCGGCAAGCGAGACCCCATGGCTGTTCTAGGCGGGCTTAGGGAACTTCTCAGCAAGTAGTAGCGGGGTGGAATAGTCACGCGCCACGAAATTATTCCAGCAGTAAAGAGCTGAAAATGAAGCCGTGCTTAGTTTGCCGTTGTTGAGTTATTTTATGTGCGCGCGCAGGTATCAGTACATGAACGAGCAGCTGATGTCGCAACGTCGCTCGATCAAGAGGAAGTTGCCCGATATCAAACAGGCGAAGGAAACTGTAACGTATTTGACAAAACAGAAGGAAAGTGGTGTGGGAGAGTAATGATGATTTGAGAAAGTTATGGTATGGCACGCATGCGCAAATGTAGGTATAGATGTCGCTTTCCACTTACTGACAACGCTCATGCCAGTGCTAGAGTGAACCCACAGGTAGGATGGGTAAATTATAGAGATCTCGATTCTGTATAAGGACATTGACTGTGTCTGATGGGGTAGTGGGCAAACGCATGTACCGCAGTTAGTGAGCTCTCGAGTTGGACAAATCCGAAGTTTTCGTGTGTCGCATACTAGTGTGATAAGCAGCAATGATGAAGCGAGAAGAGTGCACTGGAAAATTGCCGAGGAATTCTCAGAAGTGTGATTTGGCTATGGTTGGAATTGGTATGACTGTTCTAGTGTAAAGAGTATAATTCCGCGCGTGTGGCGATGATGGTTTTCGGAGAGGAGAAATGATGGTGTAGCAGAGGGTTGCATTGTTCAGGAGATAGACTCGGTGTGTTTGTGGTTGGGAGCTAACATTCTTTTGGAGTATAAGTTGGATGAAGCAAGTGAGTGGAGTAGGGAGTGGTTCACGTTTATCATTCCGACATCCCTGGTTCGATCCCCAGGAAAGGCGTTTCTTCCTATAATAAGACGCCGGAAATTGCAGAAACAACTTGATAAAATAATTTTCGTTCATAATTATTCTCGACTCGTTAAGCTCTGTTTACCACTTATCGCAGAAGAGAAAATTCATTTTGCTATTTTTGAGGATGTTGCTCTCAGCGGAGCTGTTGAATGACAACGAAGAGAGCGCACGGAAGAGCTTGGGTGATTTAGAGCAGGGAATCGCGGTTGTTCGGGACCAAATCACTACCACTGAGGTAATGAAAGTCAGAGGGTTGGAAGTGGGTTGTTGAACTGTGTGGAGTGCAATAACTCCATCACTTCTGTTGTTTTTTGAATGTTGTTCGTTTCCTTCTACTCGAACTATCTAATATTCGATAGCTATTGCCCGATGCGGTCAGCATTGTGTGGAGCAGGTGAACATAGCTAGAGTGCATAACTACAATGTGAAGCAGCGCTCAGAGCAACGACAAGGAGCCGCTCCTTAGAGGTTAGGGGGAGGCGCGTTGGGGAAATGCAAGATTGCAAGATTTGTTGTATTGATTAGGTTGAAATGGTTGATGGAGAAAATGAGTCGTTTCTACTAGTGTGTGCTGATTGTTGAGATGGTAACTGTTTTGAGTTGGGGAAAAAATTCCGGGCTCGACCGTTTAAACTAGTGTTTGTCCGGCGGTTGGGATGGTTGGTTCTTGGGAGGATTGGGAAATGAGAGGTCAGGAGATAATGAGAGGATCCGGGAGTATAATCAAGCTACTGCGATGGAGTTTCATAACCCGTTTTACGTGAAGTGGCGTTAAACTCGGTAAAAAACGCGATATTGCGGTACGAAGTAGCTGTGAAGTATGTATTTCACTAGTGTTTTTCATATCGCGGGTGAAACTTCAATGAAAATAAATCGTGTCAACTTGATAGTGTTTAACATCAACAAGCCTTTCGGGTGTGACTTGGAACCTTCGGTCGTTGAGAAAAACAACGTTTTGAAGCTGGTCGGAAATTTAACTCTCAAATTATGAGAGGTAGCCCAGATGTGAATAGTTCATTTGCGACGAGTCGTTCGAGGGTGTGTCGGATCACTCACATTAGACCGTCGGAATTTTGGTGATTTTGTGAAGGTGGGAGATGCTCTCAATTGGTAGAGTTGAGTTGTAACTCGTCGCGGTGGTCTATAGTAGTAGCAGGAGGATGTCGGGTAGTGAAGTAGTTAGATGTGGGTGGGTGGGGAAGTATACAGGAGCTGGCAGGGAGGACTATGTGAAGTAATGATTGCGTATGGAATTCTGGGGCAGTGGTAGAGCGTCTTGCTGTCTCTCGGGAGGTCGTTGGGTCTATTCTTGGGGGCATCATTCCATTATACCACACGTAACCATCAAGAGTGTAGTGCTGAATATTGAGCTGCTGCTCTTCACAAGAATACTCCCACGCAATTCTCTAAGAGTGCTCCACCGCACTATGAATATTTTCTTTCCCGGTTACCTTTCTAGATACCACGATAACGAATGGGGGGTGCCCGTTGTGGCTGATGATCGCCTTATGTTTGAGATGATCTCGCTGGAGGGAGCGCAGGCTGGCCTCAGCTGGGCGACGATTTTGGCTAAGCGGAGCGGATATAAGAAGTAATTATAAGGAGGATGGCGTTATGAAGGATGAAGGAATATATGGAAATGTTTAGTCTGGGAGGATGACCGTCGGAGTTTTGTAGTCCACAGCGATTCATCCGATTAGCAGAACTGATGTAATTACACATTGTGGAAGTGTAACATTGACGATCTATGAGTACATGAGTACGACCTCTTTTTTTCAAAGTGATCGTATGCAGACATACACTTTCTGTGTTAGAGCATTCAAGGACTTTGATATCGAGGCGCTTGTGGGGGCAACAGAAGAGGCTTCATCGATGGATGTTCTAGTCGATGCTGTACTTGACAGTGGTTGTGATGTGGTGAGAAGTCGAAGGAAGATCGAGAGTGTGTATAGGAATGCGGAGGCGGCTAGAGCTGTTCGAGAGGAGTAGTAGCTGGGAGGAATCGATGGAGTTATATAATTCATCCACACACATTGATATGTATATATTTTATATAATTTCTTTATCGACGGCTTATTGGGAAGCGTCTCGCGTTTTATATGATATGACTGATCGGTGTTCGGACTGTATAGTCCTAATATGATAGGACTACACGTCGGTAGGGAAGAGCAGCTCACAAATTTCAAAGCTTCTGGTGTCGGCAATACCTTTAGACTGACATTCTCCCTCCCTTTTGTGTGTTTGGCTGGTTAGAATTGGTAAAAGTTTCACCTACGGGTCGTATTTTTCATCGTGTCAGACGTGTATGAACTAGTTTTCACTCAAAAAAAGGTATATTGTATGGAATTTCTGGGAAAGGGCGACTTGCAAATTTTAAGGTTTCTGGTGTTGGTAGGTTTGGAGGTTTATGTCAGTACATATGGCACTTCACAGGGGGGCAACAGGTGAGGTCAAATCAGCCATCGCGAGGTTCTTGTTTTCGGATCGCCATTCGAATTGAATAACGAATTAAATAGGGAGTAAAACTAAAGTAGATGATAGTGAAGGTATTGAATGATTTCATACCGTGCAATTGTGAAAGCGCAATAGGGAGAGGCTGGACGGAGAGTAATGGATGGCGAAGTTGTTTTTGAGTGTGAAAGAGCAGAGTATAGTGACCTCATGTAGAGCTGCTGGTGCATCAGGTCGTGAACAGTTGGACAAACGTTAGTGATATACCTTCGCATACGGACTTATCAAAGAGAATAGCTGAGGATATGAAGAGGAGGGGATTTCGGTAGGTAGTAGTGGTAGTACTTGGTTGCAGTTTGGTGGGATACGCTCTTAAGCTCATGGAGTGGGCACGCGCCATGATCATGATTCTACCAGAATTTAGAATGCTCAAATTCCTGTGAAAGAACAAATTAGAAGATGAAATTCGATTTTCGACGAGTGAAAGGAGTTTTTCGCGAAATGAAAGTTCGAATTCGTAAATGCCATTTATGAATTCGGAAACGAAAGCTCAAATTCGTCGAACAGAAGACCAATTTCGAGGAATGAGTCTCCATGGTCATGGAGGACGTTTGAAAAGACGGTTTGGTGGTTGTCTGTGACGAGGCATGTTGAGAGAAAAGACGCGGGTGATCATTGATTGATGGATGAGCAATATTGAAGTGTTGAAATTCCGAGATGGGTTTGCCAGGGCTACGTCCAGTCTCCTGGGTTAACACGAGATCATTCATCATAGGGGAATGATAATTACCTGAGAATTAACTTGTTTAACTATTGATTACCTATAAGCACTACTAGCCTGGCACAGCTTAAAAGATACTAAGCTTGAGGAACAGTACCGACACAATTGTCACAACAGAGAGTATAGCATGTTTCTGGGCCGGGCAGGAATAAGCTCGGTTATGTTGTGAGAACAGAAATTTCCTCTTCTCTTCACCAATCACAAGTACGTACCTGTGCTGTTGCTCCGACGGAAATTGTTGTTGGTGAAGTTGAATTATGGAGTTTGTTTCAGGATGGTGGGGCCGACCACAGTGTATTCGTTGCTGCAAGCAGTGGGAGTCGTGAATGATCATATGGTTGCTTGTCATCGATATAAAGCATGCGTTAGGAAAATGCAAGATTGCAAGATTACTACTAGTGTTGTTGGAGCGCATCGTAAAGTAACTTTACGACGTAAACGAAAGCGAAGCGTTTGACTGTTTGAGTGATTCGAGTTGGGAAGAGTGTTGAGGCTGGGGCCGTCTTTTGTTGTGCTCCATTCGGCTCGAGGGACTCGCGGGTTGCTCGGCGGTTTTGTTGCAGTTGTCTGTGCTCCATAAATGCCTCTACTGCTTTGTCCTGTGGCCACCAGTGGGTGCTGAATCATTATCATCGTAGCCAATGATGATGGTTACGATCATACAGAATCGAGTTTGTAAATTCTTATGCTTCTCAATCGTGATGTTCCGGTTCCAAATCCAAACATCGTTCTTTGGTGGTAGGCTTCATCTCGCTTTGGTAGCACTTTATGATTCCTCCGAATACGATGAGCTCGTGGTTAAATCTGGTCTGATGACGTACGAGCTGGGTGGCGGAGACGAATATGAGGCCATTTATTTCCTGATCCCAGATGATGGGGTTGTATCGTCACTATGGAGTATTGACGAACACATTGTTTCCGGTCGAACACAGTGCATTTCGTCCCGAACAACCAATCCGTCGCGGAGAGGGTGTTGTTTTTCCGCCCATCATATTTCCTCGTAGGTCATTTCGGTCTTACAGTCACTTTGAAGTTGTTGATGTAGTCAGTCTCATTGTGTAGTCGCATTTCCGAGCGTTGTTACAGAATGATGTCACGAAATGTATATGTGCTTTGTTATGCCTTAGTTATATAGCATGATGATGCTAAGAGTTGAGAACGGTATCCTTAGTATTGTCTGTCCTAACTCCGCAGTCCGTCATTGGCTATGTTATATACGTTCCACAAAGTTGCATGCGTATGCTAAGGTTCTATGTGGTTTTGATCCCCCTACGTCTTGAAGCAACTGAGCCGCAACAGCGTTGATAGCCATCTTACATCGTTCATGAGTTATTATTATACACTATCGTTGAGTTGGTAACCATTGAAGGAGCCTTCAATCTGTGCCTTGGAATCGGAACACGGTATAACTATCAGTCGTTTCGCTGGAAGCGAGAGAACTCTAATAAACGGATCGTCCAGAACGACTTTCATATCGTCGTTTGGTAGGCGACGTTTATTAGAAGGCATCGCTGTTCTCGTATGCCTCCACGGCATGTGTACATGATGTACGCGCGCCTCTGTTGACGTACATGTATAGTACATCAACCATACTTGAGCGCCCATTATGCATTCCCCCCTCGCGTGAAGGTAGATTCTTCCGCTAGTAACTTCAACCTGGTAGAAGTTATTAGCGAGATTGAATCGAAATGTACGAATTATTTGCGAATCATTAAAGCATCAAATTATTCCTCACAGTTCTCGTCGAGCTCCGCAAAGAGTGACTCTGCAGCTAATCCTGATGAACGCTCTGACCAGACCGGACTCCAGCCGTCGGAAGCGCAACACTGCGATGATCTTCCGCCTTTTGCATTGGTTCCTCACCCAAGGGTACTGTGCCGAGTAGGACCGAGCGTTGTTAAATGCTAACCATCGATTCATTCATCTCCATGGTGACGAGCTAATTATATTGTCTACTAATAGTTTCGAGTTGAACTCCAATGTGTTATATCATTACTAATAAGATTTACATCTTACCTCACGGTGTGATTCTGATCGTCAGCCATTGTCAAGTTGACAATGCCAACCATGTGTTTGGTCAACACTAAGACAAGAAAAGGTGTGAAACCATATTCCAGGATACGCGTTCAGCTGTGTGAGCTACATAGTTGCGGAGCGAGCGAAGCGAGCGGAGCATGTACCGCAACAACAGGCACTTTCGCGTTGTGCGTGCGTGCAGAAAGAATTGTTCTAGCTTAACTACGAAGCGTAGGCGGCCATCAGATGGATCAAACGACTCCTCTATATGTCGAGGTTTGCACTAAAATCGAACAACTCTATTATGCGAGCAGCTCGAAGAGATATGCACGAAAACCTTTAATGACCAGGGGAGCGAACCGGAGGCATATTCCGGGGTAGAGCTTGGTGTGTCTACTGAATGAATCAATGGACGAGGACTAAGCGAGCTCCGCCCCTTCGTCACGAAGACCTAGTAGCTAAGGGGCTAGATATATTTCTGCCGAGCGTCTCGATAGGCGTCTCGAACTATTCACCATACTTCGTGATATGATCCATATTTGGATGATGCCCATATGCGGCATCGGATGAACGAATCGATTGCCTGCAAAGGTGACCGTTAAGTTATCGTTTTACTAAGGCTGCCACAGCACACTTGATCATCCGTAAGACCTTCACTGATACACACGATACAC